CACTGGGGCTGGACAGCCCCACTGGGGAAAAGAGTAGCCAAGAGCCCACTGTGTCCCTGGCAGCATGGACACACCACGGACAGCATGGACACTCACAGCATGGACACACCATGGACAGCATGGACACACCATGGACACACCATGGACACACCATGGATACACCATGGACAGTATGGACACACCATGGACACACCATGGACACTCACAGCATCCCATGGTATTGCAGGGTCCCTACAATTAACAATTCAAAAGGAGACTGCCAGTGCAATCCCCCACGTGACAGTCCATGTACACCCCTAACATAAGAGCACAGCCTGTGTCTTAAACTGTGCTTAAAAAGCCTCCCACATGAAAAGCCTTGAATGAAGCAATGAAGCCATAAAACAAGAATACAGGTACCAGAGCTTTATTAGATGTTTCACTGGATACAAAGAAACTGGATTTTATATTACTTTTTTTACTCTAAATACACATTCTTGTCATAAAAATTCACATTTGCTATACAGAACTGTAGGCATTTTTAACACAACATTTATTAAAGTACCATTAAACAGATCCTAAAACGAGAAGGTGCAGCTCTGTGAACCTTTGTGGGCACAACACACAGGGAGCTCCATGTTCTCAGTGTTACACAATCATCCTTCCCACCAAAACGGAGACAAGTCATTCAAATGCATTAATGCTCACTGGGAATAATAAGGCTTCTGTACAGAGACCCTGAACAGTGTCAGGAGGCAGTGTGGCAATAACATGCTAAAAATCATCACCTAGATGACACTAAACTACTGATGACTGAGGCAGTCAAAAACTTAACTGTCCTGGCAAGCCCATATAATTTTTCTTTTTCTTTTTAAAATAGTGTTTTTAACCACGTATTTTTATTTTCAGTAACAGTAATTACAAATAACTCCAGGATTCTGCTTTAAGGATCCCCGCTTCACAGCAAAACTAATTGCAGCTACTTGAGGATTTTTTTCCAATCAAACTGACCTCTGTAGGACCAAAGGCTGAAGGAGAAATTAGTACATGCAATCTTGCTGGAGAAACAAAAACCTCTAAGTGCACCTCCCTCTGAGGAGATACTCATTGGCCAAGGTGATGCCTCTTCAAGGGGATGTGTGTGCATAACTCGGAACGTGGAGATAAACCATCCTGGGACATCAGATGAGGCCCACTTCCAGCTCTTAGCCCCACACACTTAACATCTTTTACAACCATGTGGACTGCTGTGATGCACTGAGGTTGACAAATATCTAATATTTACAGCTGGCAGGTAACGGGATGTTATGCACAAGTCCAGATAAGCAGCACTGAGCAGAGGCACAGGAGAGAAGTGGGAAGGTGCTGCATTTTAACTGGACAACTGAAGAGGCTGTGGAATCAGACTTGTGCCTTCCCACAGTCACTGTTCAGGTGGATCTGACTGAAGCTGACCTCATATCAAATGTGCTGCTGGAGGGCAGGCACCCTACTCCAACCAGCCAGGCACAAGGTGGGCACTCGCTGTGTTTAGTTAGTTACTCTATCCTAATTACTCTTGGCATCAGGCATCCTAAACATAAACCATGAAGGGAAAAAGCCAGGTCTAACTGTGGGAATAGTACAGGAATTGTACCTGTAGGCAATGTAGAGATTCCTAAGTAGGCCCTGCAGGGATAGAGAATTTAAATTAGAGTCTTTTTATTTAAAGCTGCCACAATTCCTGAAAGCAGAATGCTGTATACATGGGCAGGCCAGGCCATGCTGATCAGCCTATGGCATTCACAATTTTTAAATAAGGATTTTTTTTTGATAGGTCCAACCTACACTGGAGCAAAGTTCAAAGCTCTTCCTGCAAATTTAAAGCTATGTTCCAACACAGGACATGAGCAGTATTGCATAGCATCCAGGCACTTCCTTAAAGCCAGGATATCCCCATCCTCCTATCATGACTATGTTCCAGAAGATGAATTTGAGGCCACTCAATTACATGATCACAATTCCTGCTGACATCAGCAGGAGCTGTGTGTGTGCAGAAGTGATTTGATCTGTAACACACTGGAAACCATGTCTTTGCCACCTCGTACAGTCAAGGCAGTTGATCAGGCAAACATCCTATTCTGTATTTACAAATCTGTAAGTGAGCTCCAAGTAACTTCAAATTTAACTCCTTCGTGCCAGAAAGTGAGGGAGTCAGCTCTATGGACAACCCTTGGTAACATCTGAAACAGAACCGATAATTATGAGATTTAACAATATTATCCTAATGCATTAAGGCAGGTCACATAACTGCCCTTTTCCTTTAGGATTAATTATTATTTCCTCGTACACTGTAGACAATCCATAATCCCATTTACACACATATCTACGAAACAGCAGCACAGTAAAAACTAAATAGACCACTGAACTCCAAATACTTGTAATCAGTACATTACACATACTATACAGCATATTTTAACCTCATCATTGGGTAAACATATACAATTCAGAACAACATTGACTGTATGTAACACAGAAGCTACCACTGAGACATGGCAAATACATCATACACTATTAGCTTTTACTTCACTGAAAAGGAATTTAGAACTTTGAAATGGTGTTACCTGAACTCTTGAAATCACCAAATGGCCTAATCAGTTGCTAATAACTAGTGCTTCATATACTAAATTGAGGATAAACAGCACTGGAACTGTGTTTTCAGGGCACTCTGCTTTCTTTTTTTATTTTGTGGAATTAAGCTCCACATTTTTAAATTTCATTTGCAACACAGCCTATCATTACTACACAGTGACTCTCTGCTCACTCTCATCTCAGGGTAAAGGCTTAGTAACTACTTTGAAGTTAGTAGAAACTGTCTAGATTTGTATGAGTATGACAGAAATATTGAGCCCAGCAACAGGATCATACATTCCCTCTCAGCCATGCATGCATATATATTTTTATGTATATATATACATGCTAACATTTAAAATAATGTTTTGAAATAGCAGGACCTACAAAACCAGTAATGTATCCAACAGCAAAAGAATTCAAATAACCCATTAATTCTAAAACTACGTTCCTGTGGTCTGATTCTGATTCTCCCCTCACCATACAAGGCAGCACTTGCACTCCAGGAATCACCTCCTGTTTGGACTGGATTTCTGCAGGTTGGATCAGTATGGAACAAAGATATCTCAGCATGTGTAAACTGAAAAACGGAGCCAGGTGGGTTTACACAGCTGAGACATTCTGTTTGTGCAGCACAGTTGCCATTTTCCAAGTATGGGTGAAAAGAAAGGATTAAGAAATCACATGAAACTGCCAGAAAACAAGAGCACTTGATGTATACATGATGAATATAGTGAGGGGGAAAATAAGCAGAAGAAGGAAAAAAATGTTTTGGCAGTGAATGACATGACAGTTTGAGTAAGTAGATGCTTATACAGATCAATAGTGTGGACAGGTGTTTTTCCTTGATGGGCTGATTACAGTCAACTAATTTCCCATGCAAGATTCCTCATAATACATGTGAAGAAACCTTCCAAGTTCATGGGATCAGAAGAAGACATCTGACCCAACCCTGCAAGCACATTTCTGGTTGAAATCAAAGACAATTTTAGCTGCATATGGGTGGCAAAACTGGGCTCTTGAACGGTCCAGTTGCGCTGCATAGTACTTTCTGGCTTGTTCTTTTTTGGCAAGATCCCCAAACAACATCAACAGGGAGTGCATCTCTATCAGGACTTAGAGTTTTAGGCCCTCTCAGATGAAATCTTCAGAAGAGCATGGATAGTATATCCCCACATGCACTTTTTTCTTTTAGTTATTAAGGCAAGTTTGTTTACCTGTTCCTACCATAAAGTGCTGTGCTTCTCCAATAGAAAGATCGACAGCTAAATGAAAACATATTTTTTCTGACCAGAATTTAAGATTTTGCTAGCATTCTTCCCCATTAATGGACAAATTATAAATTTTGTCTATTATTGTTTCTTGTCAGAGGATTCTTTTTTGCTTTGCTTTTACTTTTTATTTATTTCCAAATGTGAATTAGAACAAAATTGACACTAAGCAAACATTTCATAACAATACTAACAAACTCTAGATAGCTCTATACTTATTCATATATACAGGCACACACACATACACTTTTTAAAATACAGCAAAGCATTTGCCTTGAGTACACCTCTGAGCAAGCGAAAAGCCTGGTGTGTCTGGTGTGTGTTTCAGCAGGGGTACCACCAGAAACCTGGTGCTGGTGCTCTCAGATGAAACAGAATTTCAGCCAGAATCAAAAAAAAAAAAAAAAGAAAAAAGAAAAAAGAAAAAAAAAAAAAAAAAAAAAAAAGAAATCTAATTTTCACTCCACCCAATGATTTGGATCACTTTACTGTATTAAAATTATAGATTAACTCTTTTGGCTATATTTGAGCAGCTGAAGAATCACAGGAGGAATCTGGAAACAACCAACTCCAGCTAAATGGAAAACAGAGCACTTCACACTACACTGTCATTAAATAAGCAAACATTTTCATATTTTTATGTAGGACATCCACATAGAAGTGGGGTCAAAATTTATTTTCATGTTTTATTTTATATATCTGTTACATAAATTTTACTGGGAGAGCCTATGGAAACCAGAAACAAAGACCATCAAGCCACTCAATAACTTGCTTAGTTGTGGGTGAAAGCATTAAAGTCTACCCTTTGTTCAACAAAACCATGACTTGTGACTCTAGGTAAATTTTCGACATGGTCTGGATGAAGTTTAAATGCCATAAAAAACCTAAATATCTTAGATCACAGATTTCATTTGGGATGACTTGTACAGTCCTAACACATACAGAAGAGAATGCTACTGAAAGAGCCATCATGACTTCATAACAGCTGCATGGTTTTTTTCAAACAAATTTATAGTAGTCCTGTCCACAACCCCAAAGATCATTATGCAAGTGTGCAAGGATGCATGTGTTATACACACACATTTAAAAGTGTCATTATACTACACATACACCTAAATTATTCTTTATTCTACACATACTCTTTTTCCAAGTACAAAACAGCAGGAAGTGTTCTTTTTATTTCACTCCCTAAACTAAAGCCAAGAAACCCCCTATAATGCTTGTTGCCTATCTGTTCAATATGGCCATTTCTGAATTCCTAAACTCTGATGGGAGACAGTAGTCATTGTCATTTGACATAAAAGAGCAATGGACTGTATGATGCAATTCTCTCTTCTCACTCAACCAAAAGTTCCAGTAATATCAAGTGAAATTTGACCTTAATTCTATCCCATAAATCCTTGCAATATTTCAAACATTTCCTTGTGAGATGTTATAGCATCTATTGTTTTGTACAGATGAGATGTTTTATTTTCCAAAGTCATGTGAGTGTCTATTGATGTGTCCAGGAGACGAGACTGCCTGTATTTTATCCAGTTAGGTGTCATACAGTTGCAATGTCATACAGTTGCTCTCATTTTATAAATTACTGAATTTTCCATTTACTTTTTATATATGTTTTTTTAAAGCTAGGATGATCAGCGATTTTGTTGCTGGAACAGTGCCATTCAGTAGATTTTCAACCTTGTGTTATGCAGTATTGTATCCCACAGACAATTTAAGGACTATAGAGTACTGTTATTAGCTAGAATTGAACTACTGCATTCTTCAGTACAGGAACTTTTCACTGATGAAACTGGCACTGATTTTTTGTAATCAGTGGAAAAGTGTTCTGCTCATAGCTGCCTTAAAGAGAAGCTTAGACTGCATCTACTTTTAAGTGCAGTTTCAGTCTTGCAGAAATCAGGTTTCCACCACAGGACAAAATACTGCACATGTGAGAGTATGCACAACTCACCTTTTGCTAATCCATGCTAAACAAAGTCATTTCCATATTCAGGGCACGGGATCAGGCTCTTACATAAGATTAATCCTGGGGAGAAGTGGCACTCAAAGCTGGCCTACCTGTGTTCCTGATGGAACCAGGGAAAATATGGACCAGCAGCTGTCCCTTAGAGGCTCATATTGTGACCAGTGTTATTTAGTATCTTCATTAATGATGCAGATGAAGAATCAAGTGCACCCTCAGCATATTTACAGGTAACACTAAGCTGAGTGGTGCTATTGACACACCTTCAGGATGGGATACCATCCAGATGAATGTGGACAAGCTCAAGAAGTGTGTCCATGGGAATTTCACATGGTTTAACAAAACTGAGTGCACGGGCAGCCCCTGGTGCCAGCCCAGGCTGGGCATGAGCAGCCCCAGAGCAGCCGTGCCCAGAAGGGCTTGGGGGTGCTGTGGGTGAGAGGCTGCACATGGCCCAGCCATGGCACTCCCAGCCCAGAGAGCCAAACGTGTCCTGGGCTGCACCCAGAGCCCCGTGGGCAGCAGGGCAGGGAGGGGATTCTGCCCCTCTGCTCTGCTCTGCTGAGACCCACCTGGAGCACTGCATCCAGCCCTGGGCTCCCAGCACAGCAGGGACAGGCACCTGCTGGAGCCAGCACAGAGGAGGTCATGAAGTTGATTAGAGAGATGGAACAACTCTCCTATGAGGAAAGGCTAAGAGAATTGGGATTGTTCCATCTGGAGAAGAGAAGGCTTTGGGGTGACCTAATTTTGGCCATCCAGTACCTGATGGGAGTCTACAAGAAAGGTAAAGAGAGACTTTTTACAAGGGCGTGTAGCAACAGACAAGGGGGAGCGGCTACTGAGAGTGGGTTTAGATTAGATATTAGGAAAAAATTCTTTGCTGTGAGGGTGATGAGGCACTAGAACATGTTGCCAAGAGAAGCTGTGGATGCCCATGCCTGAAAATGTGTAAAGCAAGGCTTTGGATGGAGCTCGGAGCAACCTGGTCTAGTGAAAAGTGTTCTGCCAATGGCCAGAGTGTTAGAATGAAATAATCTTTAAGGTTCCAACCCAGGCCTTTCTGTGACTACAGTTAGGCCAGTATCACATCCCTGCTGGCTTGACCTGAGGCAGAGACATTGGAAAACCCCCTTTTGAGAATGAAAAACAAGCAGGATTCCATCTGTGCTTTGTGCAAGCTACACAGTACATGATGTCTACTGTCCACTGATTATGGTACATAGCACGTCATGTTTACTGTCACTGATTATGCATGTGTTAGAAGCATGACTTTGGATTTACATCACAAAGGCATTTAAACCAGCAGCTCATTGATAAATATGATCAGTTAAACCACCTAACAGATGAAATGTAGCAGCTTAAAATTTTTGTGCCAGATATACTGTCCTCAGTCTCCTGGTGCAATGCTCACACCATTGGGAATCCTGCTGTGAGCAGGAAGAGGACAATATATACATCCCCTTGCTCTGAAAACAACAAATTTCTTGGCACTGTTCATAACCACAGAAGACACATGAATCACATTTGGTACCTCATGGAGAACCAGTAAATGGCCTTCTTTTATCAGACACTGTAAACATGTTTAGTTTTGCTCTTCACACTAAACACAAATATGAAAAATGATCCTAAATGATGAAAACATTTCCCTTATGCCCACCCACTAAAGCCCTAAACACCTCAGTGTGTTACAAGAAGATGAGTGTTTTACAATAGAATCCTTTTAGAATACAATCTTTCTTTTTTTTCAAATTCTGAATAACACAACAACACACATATCACAGTACTATCAAGTAGTGTCATCTTCACCTTCAGCCAGAGAATAGTTGAGCTTTATGACTGTGCTGATAAAGTCACCAAGTTCTACAAAATCTGCAGTGATAATATTCACACCACTCTCTCCTGCCTTCTGAGTTCGGACCCACTCCATCATTGCAGGAAGAGCCCTGAGGAGAAAAGAGGAACAATAATTACTCATAAATCACTGAGACAAATGCATCAAGGCAGGATCTACTGACAGTGTCTCCCATCAATCTTACTTGGTTCCTAAGGGAAAGAAACCAAGTGAGACAGGACACAGGTGACTACTCAAGCTTTTTGAAAATTCTTTTTAATTTTCATTCTCTGGGGAAATAATATGTTCACTGCACTTCAACTTCTCAGTGGAAAAGAAAGGAAGGAAGATAATGCAGGCTTAGAGTAATTATTGATTTTGCCTAGGCACAAGGCAAAATTGGACCATGGACAAGATACTTTTTGATATCATCAAAATATGACTCCAAGGGATTTGCTTATGGAAAAAGCAGTAACAGAGAACTCAAGCCATTTGCAAAGCATGCTTGACACGCACAAGGAAATGCTGAAAATAGTATTTTGAGGAACGCAGAAACAACCATGATTCCTACTGTATAAGTACAGCATATACCAAAAACCCTTTCTTCACCAGTACTGATATCCAAGCCATGAATTAATTAGACTTAATCATAAACCAGTGGTTGGTAACTGAAACAGAAAGCACCATAGTCATATCAACTCTTTTCTAAGATGGCAGATTTTAATTATGTCAGATCCTTAGCACAGGAATACTGGGGTCTAAAGGATAACTGCCTAACTGTGCTTCTGAATATAAAGAAATTTTTCTGACATTTTTCTGCACAAATACAAACTAACAATCACAAGAAACATCTGTGAGAAAAATAAAAGGCTCCTTAGTCCTGCTGAGGCTGTCAAGCAGCAAAATCCAGGATTTAGGAGAAAGAAGTTAACAGAGTTCCAAAAAATAAGGTACACATTTTTCAGGGAAAGTGTATTTTTCAGAGAAAGGGCATTTTTCAGAGAAAGGGTAATTGACCATTGGTACAAAATCCCAATGACTGTGACAAACTCTGCAGCAGTCTTTAAATCAAGCCTGGGTATCGTTCCAAAATTATACTTTTGGTCAACCCCAAGCTGCTGAGTTAAATAAAAGAACCTAAAGTCTGGGCAGGACTGCAGTCAGTTTAGATGAACATTGTGTTCTCCCTTTGCTCTAAGATCTATAAATCTGTGGTTTCCCCTAAAGCAGCATGTTGTGCAGCCTTTTTCACAGACACAAGGTACATGGAAAATTTTGGTCTGAGAGTAATTTAAATGAAGGTGAACATGTTGAATCTATATCTTTTCTCACAAGCTTTAGGAAAACTGGTCTAAAGAAAAGAGAACTATTAGCAGACAGAGATTGTACTTGTCAGTGGCTACTAGAATCAGTCAGTTTTAAAAATAATTTAATATGGAATAAAACCCAAGCAGCTAAAATTATTCCTCTATGTGATTTCACAGAAGAATACCAAGGTTTTCTTTCACCAAAATGTACTTGAATCTACTGTAAGATCCACATATCAGCAATACATTTTATTTCAGTCATTGATTCAGTATGACTGAAGCGCTTGTATGTATGCACACAGCTCATAAAACCAGACTCAAGCATTCTGCTGTGTATGAGCCCAGCCAGCACCTTCAGATGAAAGTTTATGTAATGCTGAAAAGCTGCACTCTGCACAACTGTAACAGGACACAAGTCAGGCATTAAATACCTGGCAATGCCTGGACTGCTTGGAAAGATCTGCAATCAACCAGAACCAGGACAGATCTCAGCAGAACAGCACAGACCACCAAGGTGACAAAAGGCAGCTCACAGCAGCTGTAAACTCCACTGAATCTTCATATGTGAAAGGTACTGCTGAACTCTGCTCAAAGATACAAGGTCAAACCTACGAGATGGCAGTATTTTGGTTTTGTATTTAATACCAGTTAGAGGTTTAAAGGTCAACTCATTCATTGCAGGCAGGCACAAATCCATCCTTCCTTCCTTCCTTCCTTCCTTCCTTCCTTCCTTCCTTCCTTCCTTCCTTCCTTCCTTCCTTCCTTCCGCCACTTCCTTCCGCCACTTCCTTCCTTCCTTCCGCCACTTCCTTCCGCCACTTCCTTCCTTCCTTCCGCCACTTCCTTCCGCCACTTCCTTCCTTCCGCCACTTCCTTCCTTCCTTCCTCCCTCCCTCCCTCCCTCCCTGATAACCTTGGTATTTTACTCCCCATTGAGGCATAATTAACTCCTTTTGGTGTCTTTTACTTGTTCTGAAGCTGGTTCTGATGTCATTCTTTCTTCACAGCTTACAGTTTGCTGTCCATACACTTACCCATATCGACCAAAATACTGTTTTCCTTTTCCTGATGTGTTCTTAGTAAGTCAGACTCCACCAAAAAGTCATGCCTCCTTTTGATCAGTGCTTTATCCTACAGTCAGCCTGTCCTGCCATTTCATCCACAGCTGGCTTTGTTAGTTGAATGGGTTATTTTTGTTTTACTGATATTTCATACAGGACACAGTTGCATGACCCTCTGCTTGTACTTAAATTGCTAGATAAAGTCACGGAAACCTTTTGTTCATGAGACTAGAAAGCATTTAAAGATAAGTCAGAAATGAATCACATTATCAAACAAAAAGCTTATTTGCATAGCAATGCCAAATAACACAATGCTATTAAAAAAAAAAGATAGCTGAAGAAACCATTCCACTGACCTTAAAGATTTGATGTCAGCTCTATAGGTCTCTTTATTACAAAAGTTAATGCAAAAACCATACAGATGATCTCTTCCCCATGTGCCATCCTGAGAGTGGATTACACCAATGACTCTAAAAACCATATGTTGCTCAGTTTCAGTGTTTATCTGAAATGCTCACAATAATTATTAGAATAAGCCTGCTTTAATATTCCTCAGGGTGCCTTTGTGGCAGCAGAACAAACCTTGCTCACCCTGCCTTGTAATTTCCAAATTGTGCCTCAAACTAGTGATTGTTCTCACCAAGGGTTTTACTCAGGCGAACAAACCACCTACATGACTGAGCTCACAAAAGACCAGTACCTACCATAGTCCTCAAAAATATTCTTATGTGGTTCTCTGTCAGACATGGGGGAAGCTTCTAGAAGCTTCTCACAGAAGCCATCCGTGTAGCATCCCCCTCTACCAAAACCATGCTACTCAAACTCAACCCATCCTGCTGGGACTGTAAGAAATTATTTTATGCATGAGCATATAGGCAGAAGCCTCTCAGCCTGCAAACCCTAGGAGCATCACTGCCACTGTGTTAGGCAGGTCCTGGCTCTCCTGTGGAGGATGTCTTTAGTGTGCCTCCCACAGCTGGTACAGTCCAGCCCTTATGGCCATTCCCAGGTCTCACAAGGAATAATTTCTAACCCCTCTGGGTTCCAAAGCCACCGTGTCACCCAGAGCCACATGCACAGAAGGTGCTGCTTGTCTTTGCACAGAGCCAGGGAGGAGAGCAGGCATGCTCCTCCACAAGAGCTGTGCCAGGAGAAAGAGAGGAGTCCTCTCCTCTTACCTCTCTTCCTGTTTTCATTCTGCTGCAGTTCCTCTGACCTGGGCTGGAGTTGGCCAGATCTGATCCTGCCAGGCCAGTGCAGCACTGCCCCACAGACCAGCACTTGAAGTCAATTAGTTTTTCCACATCCCTGGTGGAAGCAGAGGGGTTAATGGAAACAGTAGTCTAGGGAGGGCAAAGACACAAGGCTGGGGGGCTTGAGTACTGGCAGGGAAGGAGGTGAATAGCATGTTACCTTGATTTGACTATGAATGGAGATCAGGAATCTTGGTGATAAATTTTCTGGCCTGAAGGAATGTGTGGAGTATCTCATTTCCTTTCACAAACTGGAGAGGAGGTGCCAGACATCTGCCCCTCACTGCCAGGATGGTGGGAGTGAAGCCAGTGACTGACTGATGTGGAAGGACCTCATGGCAAGGGCTGTGGGCCAGCCCCAGCCACCACCACTGCACCTCCACGGAAGCAGACAGATCCACCACCAGTGGTGCCCAGCAGCCTTCTGGAGCAGCATTTCCACCTGCCAAAGTCTGCATGAGAAGGGGGAGAGTAGAGGAGATCTGGGTGATAGGGACCTATCTATGCTGGACAATCAAAGTCACACAGAGGTGCTTGATGTGGCTGCATTTCTTCTGAGATCTAAGTTTATATCTCAGGTGGCACCTCACTAGGTTAGTCAGGTACTCATAACTTGGGCATGACCTGGGTATCAAGATGGTTCACACCATGACTGCAAGCATGCCCTACATCACCACTCCCAGCTGTTTTGTTATTTTTGAAGGGCCATATGCTTTCTCATACAGCATAGCTACAGCAGTTTTCACTTACAATCCAGTAAAATCTAGGCTCAGCTTTGACACTTATTTTATTACCTCTATTTTCCCTTTTCTGCTTGCTTGCTTGTATAAACAGAAATATGCACATATTTAAGTTTTTCTCGTCTTTCAGGAACCATTTTCTGATGCATTAGAGATCTGCTGAGAAATACTGACCTCAACTACAAAACATAGCCCTTTTTAATGTTACTGAATATTCAAGACCTCTTTCTTCTTTTTTTTTTTAATCTATCAAAGCTCTCAAGTGACTTCAATGGCATTGAATTTTGTTCAAAAATAATAATTAAGCATTCAAGTTGCTTCAGTTCAAGCAGTAAAATCATTACTCCCATTAAAAGCTTTCAGAAAGAAAATATGACCTAATTATTTGTATTAAGATTTGCTTTTAAAAAACTGTTCTTAGGCTATTTTAGTTCCGAAAGAGGGTTGGTTATTTGGTATTTTTAATGCCTGAGTCATGAAAGCCCGACAGTGTGACAGAAGACTAATGACAGCAGTGCTGTAAGACAGGACCTCCCATGGCGGAACAGCCGCTCCTCTCTGCAGATCTTTCACAGGAGAGGAGAAGGAAAAGCAACTTCACAAACACAAAACAGAATGGCCATTCACTATTTAATGAGAGTTTGATCACTAAAGGCAAAGAACACGTTTTCTTCTGGAGTGCAGGGAGACAGTACAACCTAATCCACAGTGAGAAATTGGTCCCATTCACGTGGTGTGATGCTGCCGAGCA